TGACATCCCAAGTCAAAGGGGCAAAGGTTTGTTTGACGCACAGTCCATAATTGGCTGGCTCCAAGGCAGAGTGGTGTGGCAGACAGACCTCTGAGAGGGGAAACGTTCATGGCAAGTAGAAGGTAGCAAAGCAAGAAGGGACCTTAATAGTATCTTTCTATTCCTTTTCTACTCTTATCTAGACTACAGGAATTAGAGTGGTCCCAAACCAGTCAATGGATAGATTTAGTGAATCAGTGACATACTCTAGATCCAGCCACCTTTGAAAAAGCCCCATTTATGACTACATGAGATTTTGGGGTATAACTAAACACAAGCCATACAGACAGACACAACTATAAACTTCTCTTTAGAACTGTCTTTGCTATACCTCAGAATTCTGGTATATTTTGTTTCCATTTTTCATTTGATTCTAGAAATTTTAAAAATTTCTTCTTTGATTTCAGTGATCTACTGATTGTTCAATACCTGTGTGTGTTCGTATGATTTTTGTAATTTTTTTATTGATTTCTAGTTTCATTCCATTATTATCTGATAAGATACAATAAATTTTTAACTTCTTATATTTGAAAGGACTTGATTTATGGTCTAAAATGTGATCCATTTTGTAGAATGTTCTATGAGATACAGAAAAGAATGTGTATTCTATAATTATTGGATGGAATAAGATGCCTATTAGCCACTAGATGCCTATTAAATTCATTTGATCTCTGGTGTAGACTGTGACCGTTAATCTTTTTTGTCTAAATGACTTATATATGGTTGAGAGTATAGTATTGAATTCACTCACTGTTGTATTGGGACCTATGTGTCCTTTTGTGTTCACTAATGTTTTATGACATTGTGTTTTCTTATATTTGATGTATATATATATTTGCAATTGTTATGTCTCCTTAGTGCATTTTTCCCTTTAAAAATATACAATGGCCTTTGTCTCTTATGAATAATTTGTTTTGAGGTCTTTTGTTCGATTTGAGTATAGTTACACTTGCTTGCTTTTGACTTCCATTTGCATAGAATATTGTTTTCCATCCTTTCACTTTCAGTCTGAATGTGTGTTGGCTGGTGAGATATGTTTCTTACAATTAGAAATGAGTTGGGTCGTGTTTTATAATCCATTCTGCCAGGTTGTCTTTTAATTGAAGAATTAAGGCCAAATCACACAGTTAATAAGTGACAGTGCTGGTACATAAACTCTTCCCTATCTAATACTAGATCCCATTTCTTATTGAAGTTACTATATTATCACCAACTTCTATGAATTTAAGTCAAAAAGTAAACTTAAGTGTATATCTGTAGGTTTAACTGAAAGTACATTCACTATGATATTTATAATAAAAATAAAAACAAGTGAAATACCTACAGTTGGGATTTGCATTTAGTCCATTATAGAATATCCATGAAGAATACCATGTGCCCACTATAAGTTACATTCTCATTTGTTTCCGTTTTGTATAAACTAATCATATATAGAAACCCAATGTATGAAATATATTAAGAAAAGATGTTTGAAAGTGAAGAAAGCTCCAGAGGGTCGCATGGATAGCTAGCTGTCTAGAGTGGATCTTGAGGGAATGCTGTGCTACTGGGTTTGAAATTTAAAATTTGTTTAGGACAGAAAGGAGATATAAACATGTTTGGGTATGAGGATATGTTTTTGGCAAGGAAAGATTTTATATAGCAAAATAAGATTTTTTTCTTGGAATAAAATGATTAGATATTTCTAAGAGAAAAGGAGAGATAAAGCCAACTCAAAAGTTTACATTAAGTAAAAATATTATGGAGGATGAAGGTTATTAAAAACAAATATTTGGCTCTCAAAAAAACTTAAAAGTTTTTCTAAATATGTATTTATAATGCATTATATGAAGAGTACAGTTATGACAATCATATATACTTTGTGCCCTTGATTTTTGCTCAAGTTGCATATTTGAAGATTATAGATGATTTATTTTTCCTATATTTCCTTTTTTTTTTTGAACTGAGGATCGAACTCATGACCTATGCCACTGAGCTAAATCCATATATTTCCTACAATGAATATGAATTAGTATTGGAAAGAGCAACTATAAAAACAGAACTCCAAACCAAGCACCTTGGTATATGGCGGTAGTTTCAGTACTTTGAGAGACTGAGGCAAAAAGATTGCAAATTTGAGCCCAGTCTGGGCAATTTAGTAAGGCCTTGTCACAAACAAGCAACAGCAACAGATGGGGATGTAGCTTAGTGCAAAGCCTATGGATTTAATCCCCAGTCCCCAAAAACCAAAACAAAAGCTGATTTTGTGTGTGTGTGTGTATGTGTCTTTTTTGAGACAGAATCTCATTATACAGTTCATGCTGACTCTGAGCTCACTTTGTAGCCCAGGCGGTTCTCAAACTGCAACTATGCTCCTGCTTCAGCCTTCCTAGTGCTGCGAATGTTATTTTAAAAGGCAGTAAATTCCAAAGCAGTGTAAATGAAACTCACTTCATATTGTTAAATATACCCCCATCCAAGCATACATATATACTGTTACACACACGGTAAAAGAAATAATCCAGGTACTGTTGTGCTACTCTTTGGTTTAAAACCTTGAAGGCAGAGACTATATTTTGTCCTTTGAACATAAATTTTGGATATTGGTACTGTTTTCAATTAGGCTCAATAGTGTGGACCTTTAGAGAGACACACTATTGGGTTTGAATTCTGGCTTTGCTGTCATTCATTATTTGATCTTGGGCAGTTAGTGTCAGTGTCTTCTCCATCTATAGAAGTTGTTAGGATTAGATGAATTAACTCAGTAACATATTTACAGCAATTCCTGCCATTTACTAAGTGATTAATATTAATTGTTTTGGTTATTACTAATCCTTTGTCTTTAACTGTCATTTTTCCCTCAAACTCCTTCACCTACTTTCCCTCAAAGTCCTTCACCTACTTCAGAGTGCCTGGCAGTTTCAGAAATTTAGAAAGAAAGTCACAGTTATTGTTCAGATTGTCTCTCAAACAGGTTACTGGTCAACCTGGTAGACACTTACTCTTCATAGTAAAATTTAATAGCCATGGTATCTTATTTTATAAGATTATATATTTTTATGATATGATTTCTGCTAGATATTGTCTATATTAAAGAATTCACTGAGAAAGACTTACATATAGATCTCAGTGTATGGTTTTACTCATGACAGTGGTTTATTACGGCAGAGGGAAATGAAATAAAATCAAGAAAGGGAAAAATCATGTGAGATTACATCCAGAATAAACCAGATGTAAGATTCCAGAAGTCCTGTCCCAGTAGAATCATACCAGATGTGCTTAATTCCTGCAACAATGAGTTGTGATAATATACATGTGGTGCCTACCAAGAAGGCTCGTTAGAGACTTAGTACCCAGGGTTTATTATACTGGAGGCTACTCACGTCTAAACCATCTGCCTGGCATGTACCAAAATCCAGACTCCCAGAAGGAAAATACGTATTCAACGTAAGCCACATTTTTTACAAAATTTATAACAGAAAATGGTGGGAACGATCCTGAAATTTAAATTCACAGATGCCAGCCAAAGACCAACCTTACAAATATACATAGGCCTTTCTAAGGATAAGCCTCTCAGGCCTGCTCCATTAACTCTTCTGCACAGTAGAATGTTATCATGTGTGTTGTACTTCAAAAACTATTGTCAACAAATCTGTAGTTTTAAGACAATTTCATGACAATACAATTTACACACTAAAAAATTCAAGTTACATAATGCTGTGGTTTTCATGATACTTAAAAAGTTGCACAACCATAGCTGTGATCTAATTTTAGGACCTTTTTATCATCCTTCCTCTAAACCTGTGCCAATTCCACATTCCTACTTGTCCTCCTTCTCTTCCTTAGTCCCTAGTTGACCACTAATGTATCCTTTGTTTCTTTGGAACACATCCATACATTAAAATGTTTCCACCTTTAATTTTATCTCTGATATTAGTGACCATGTAAGATGTCAGTTCAAATGTTATTTACAGGTGTACACTTTCACTATGTGAGACAAAGATTCAAAGTTTGAGTCTACACAGTAGCTTCCAACAGAACAATTATGAACTGTACTCGTTAAAATTGATATTGTGAATTGGCCATATTATTTAATGATATAATTCCAGTGTCAATGCTCATTGATAAATTCAGTCATGTATTAAACTTTCAAACCAGTGAAAACGAAGTTTGCAAAGATAAGAGACATTACCAGCTGAGAATCTGTAATAAAAAAAAAAATGGTGATTTGAAAAGGTCTGAAACTAGAAACTTTTTGAGTGCTATACTCAAAAAGTTTCAGATTTGGGGGAATTTAAGTTTTGGATTTGAAAGGACTAAATGTTAACCAAGCAAATATCAAATCATTTTGGATTTTTGGATTAGAGATGTTCAACCTGTATAATAATAAGCTGCTATTTTTTTTCATTCTTTAGTATGGGTATAATATAGAAGTATAAATTTACATGTATATTCATATGAACTCCAGAGGCTAACACTTACAAATTATAGGAAATTTTAAATTTTAAAGCAAAGATATGTCCATGTATTTTTAAACATTTGATTGAAATTTTTGTTTGTCTGAACAAAATTGGCTTCTTAGCCTGAGTAGTGTGAGAGATTATGTGCTTTGTGGTTAAAATGGAGCTTAGTGTCACCATGAGTTATGTGGTCACTTTTAAAATTTTTTTACTTTTTTTAATATATATTTAGAGTATTTAGTGATTACATTTATCATGGGGAGGTGATACATGTACATGACATATCATAACACATAGTCTCCTTCCAAGTTATGTAGAGACTTATATTGTCTAACCTTTGATGTTTACCTAATATCCAAATATATATAAATTCTTAAGCTTTTGAAATGAGCTTTAATCTTAATGTCAACACATATTTGTATTTTAAAAAAGTGTTTTCAACATTAGGGAATCAATGTACAAGTGACTTATTCTCAGGAAGAAGCTGCCATTTCTCATTATTATTCACGTTCTCTCTCGCAGGTGACTTTCCAACAAGATGCTGCTCTCCATAGGGATGCTTATGTTGTCGGCCACACAAGTCTACACCATCTTGACTGTCCAGCTATTTGCATTCTTAAACTTACTTCCTGTAGGTGCAGACATTTTAGCAGTAAGTACAGTTATATTTATTCATGTCACAGATTCTTTAAATAACAACTTTAATAAGTCCTAAGTGATAGAATCTTATAAGACACTTAGCTGTAAAATTATCAGAAACATAGTTACTAGAAAGTGTGGTACCTTTGTTTACTTTTTTATTGTTTAATATCCAATGTAAGATCTCATGCACAATAAGTACCTGATAAATAGTGTTTTGGAGAATGTGCATGCACATGAGTGCTCATGTATAGATACTTACATGCTGTGTGTGTATGCACACACACATATATATACACGTTTATATATCTCTATGTATCTATTGTAATAATAATTTAGAAATTGCATAAAGTGTCCATAGTAAATGTAAACAGGATTTTTTGTTTGTTTGTTTTGATTTTGTTTTGGTTTTTTTGGCACTGGAGATTGAACTCATGACCTCGCACCTGACAGGCAGGTGCTGTGCTACTGAGCTATATTCTTGACCCTAAGATTAGGATTAATTAGTCAAAGAGGTTGCTTCAGAGTGTGCGTTTACACACTGTTATCCATAGAGAATGCTGAAAAATGTCACCTGTACTTTACAATGTTTTTTAGGATTGATTAAAATTACCAACCACATTAATTCACATCTATTCATGTTCCTCTGTGAGGAGATAGATGTTGAGCACACATGCCTTCTTTTATACATGAATGTGAAATGACTTTCTAAAGATAGATTATCAGAGTTCTTGAATTTTCTCAAAGAGATTTCTCAAGAGATTTCTTTTAGAAAAGTAGTTACCATTGGCAACACATTCCATTGACAGAATGGATTGGGAAACTTGCTTTCTAGTTTGACTCATTCAAACTGTTCACTGAACTCAATCTGTCACTCTAGAGGAAACAATAACTGTGTTTAAGTTTACAAATAAAGTGGCTACACTCAAAGCCAAACTGGAATTACAGGGTGATGAATGAACGTGGGGATTTTTGACATGTTTCAAACATGAACAAAGACTTGGCAAGAGACTGAGCCAGGGCCTTTTTTCTCCTAACTGATGCATGATTACCTATCTCATCTTTCAGAAGAGTTTGAACTTTACTTCCTAACCACAAAACATCTCCAAACTAGGAAGGAATGGATTTGTGACCTATTTGTGAATAAGCCCAGTGGGTAAACCTCCATGCTTGAAGAGTATCAAATTCTTAAGATTTCAAATGATTATGGCCTTAGAAGTATATTTGATACAACTTCAAGTTTCCACACATTCTAGATTAAAGTCAAGATATAATATCCCAAGATTGCCAGAAAAGCACTGAAAAGCCTGTTTTCATTTCTTTCATCTTATTTTTGTGAAGCAGGGTGACAACAACCAAAATAACGTAATGGAGTGGATTGGATGTAAGCAGCGTACTTCAGGTGCCACTTTCTCCTAGCACTCCCAGGCAGGACTGTCCAGTTACAGGAAAGCAAGTTCAGGGCCTCCACTGATTCTGCATGATAATGAGTTGTATTATTATTCCATTATATATTATAATTTAGTAGTAATAATAATAGAAATAAAGTGCGCAACAACTCATCCCAAAAGTCTTTTACTACTCTTTCTCACTTCATGGAAAACTTATCTTCCATGAAATCAGTCCCTGGTACCATAAGGCTAGGGGCCATTACTGTTCTAAATCATGAGTAACTGGGAGGCAAGTCTGTGTCTTACTGAATTTCTGTGTACCTTGTGTGTACTCAATAGGACATCAATAAATGTTTGAGCTGATTAATAGCCTTTCCTTAGAGACTTAGTTCTATCATGTTTTCTCTAATACCATTTGTTTTTTTCAAAATTTACTATTTTTCTCTTATCTTATTGTTTCTTACCTTTGATCTCAAATAAATGTGACATTATTAATTATATAAATTTGCATCTAGAAAAACAGATTTTTAGAATTGGAAGGAAGCCAGTCTGTTATCCCAGCACTGTTGAAGGGTAAGTTAGAAGGATCTCAAGTTTGAGCCCAGCCTGGGTAATTTACCAATTTAACAAGATGCTATCACAAAATTAAAAGATAAAGAAAAAGGGCTGAAGACGTAGCTTAGTAGAAAGGCCCTGGGTTCACTACCCAGTACCACAAGGAAAATAACCACAAAACTTAGAGGTCCCTAGGTCACGAGTGACTAGTTAACTAAGCTGTGTTCATGCTCTTACTAGGAAGTATATCTCAGTATTTTTTCTTTGTTTTCTAGAGTCAAACAGCCCAATTTTGATTGACATTGCACGTGTCTTCTGATCTCATTTTCTGGATTGTCAGATTTGTGTCTTGGTAATGCTTATAAGGTCAACAAACTGAGCAACAGAGAAGTGCCTCATGGTAGTGGTCTAAAAAGACTAGATTATAAGTGATAGTAGTCAAGACGTCCAGTAATGGATTTACAGTCAAGAGTTTCAGCTCTACATCTGTGTAGTTTTATGGCCTTGGTCAAGTTACTTAGCATTTCAAATTACAGTTAATTTCATATACAAGTTGTAGTGTATGGAAGACAATGTAGGGCGGTGGGTTAAGGGTTGTGGGGCTGGACTGCCATAGTTAGACTTCTTGTCTTTTTAATTTACTAGAGAAAATTACTTTTAGTATCCTATGATGAGTTTGTAAAAGGAAGATGATACTAATCAGCAGTCGCTAACCCTTTTGACACCAGGGACCAGTTTTGTAGAAGACAGATTTTTTTAGAGATTGGGATAGGGGAGATACTTTTGTAAAGTGCATTAGATTTATTGTACATTTTATGTTTTCTTTGGTCTGTCTCCATTTATTTAGATCAGCTTTTTTAAATTTTACAATGATATCTTTGAATAGAAAAAACTAAATAGCCTTATGTTCCACATGAAGCTGATCATATTTAATTGAATCAATTAGAGAAAGATACTTTAACAGATTAAGTGATAAGTTGTGATAATGGATTTAAGAGCACTTGATGACTCTAAAGGACTTTGTAAACAACAGAGCATACTGTAAATGTGAAATGTTGCTGCAGTGAGAAATTAACCTGACCCAGTCACCACATACACTTAATGGTGTACAAGTATGCTGCTGTACTGATTATCACAGAATGGATAGATTCAGAATCAAATTAAGATGCTGAATCACAGTTTGTTGAATTAATAGCAAGCATGCAGTGTGAAATGAAAGGAAAAAAGGGTATGTGAAGACAGTGCAGAATTTCAGTGTGATACAAGAACTGTACTACCTCTATCCAGTGTGTAGTTTGTTAGTTTCTCCTGCTGTTTCTGTTTATGATATAGTTACCAAACCCCAAATTGAAGGTAAACTAGGAAGACTTGCTCTGTTGAGAGAGAAAGACATTTTTTATTAAATTGTGGAGCTCTTTATCTTAATAACTTCTTGCAGGTGTCATAAAGAGGCTAAAATTGGGCTCACCAGTCGGTTAGATGATACAACTATTAATCTGAATGTGTCACCTAATTAATGCTTTGTGACTATTTTAAGGTTTACTTGATCCGTCCATCCTTTTCTATCAATGTTATAGTTACTATTAGGTAATAATCTTGCTTTATTCTCTCTTTGTTTTTAAATCTGTGTTCCAAAAATGTTTGATTTTTCTATTTATGATCTACAGGTTATGCACATCTATCTTACCTTCTAATACATCATAGTTTTCATCAGTGCTTCAAAAATTCGTTGTTACTATCTGTGCTTAGTTTCATCTACCTTGTTTTTCTTGCTTTCTGTGTAGCAGATTGAACAGTATTAAATGATGCAGTGAACTCTCCTCAAAATTATATTATTACTATTATTTTCTAAAAGCACAGCTAATCTTTGTTTGCTTTAAGCAAAAGACTCAAAATACTACAGGATAAGAATCAATTATGGAAGGAATAAAGTTGTTAAAGAGTTTAAACACTTTCAGCATTCTCTGTATATGTATTTCATTGTATGTATGTATTTCTCTGTATATGTATTCATATGTATTACTCTTTTCATTCTGCTGTGGATAAAAATACTTAGTTTATATCAAAATTAGTAAAGCCTTAAAAGAATGATTTATTGTTGCTTTTTCTTCTGGGGAAAAAGTCATTTTTCATAATTAGAGGCAGAAATTCTGTAAATTTTTTGTATTTAATCTGAAGCCCTTAAAATAGAGAGAAAACAAAGTGGAGTTCTTATGCTGAAAAAATGGTATGTGTAGAAAATGTTTAGTTAGGAAATTACCTGTGGAAAACTAAGAAAACGGTAAGTTGTTTAGAGGTACAGAATTATTGTTGTTTGATAATAACATGAAATAAAAACCAAATTTAAACATTCGTGTATTATAATTTGTATATAGCTCCTGCTGTTTTGCTAGATACACATTTACAAATTTGGCTTTATTATGACACGATACATCAATAAATCAGGATTATGAAAATGACAGTTTACTTAATACATTTTAATGTTTTAAAATTACCAATTTTAAAAATGTTTTTAATGTCCTGTAAATTGATTTTTAACTTGATTATTTTAATTTTGCATTTAGTATAATTTTGAAAATGCGTCTCAGACATTTGATGATCTTCCAGCAAAATTTGGTTATAGACCTCCAGCTGAAGGTTTAAAGGTAAGAAAATAGTAAAGGCACAAAGTATTTAATAAGGTGGTTCTTTATAAACATTATAAATATTTCTTGTTACTTTTTACCATAAAACCCATGAAAAAGATAAGCAGTATCTTCACTTGAAAAAAAGATAAGGAGTATTCAGAGTGTCTGCATATGTCTCTGAGATTAATCTCTAGCACACACACCCAAAAGGAATGAAGAAGAAAATGAAAATCATGTATGATTGTGCCTTTCTAGACTAGCCATTGTTAACATATTAGTATATATGTTAGACCTACTTTCTGGGATATGTGGTATATATTTTCTAGATGTTCATATCTATATTTATGTAAATGCTTGCATATACAGTAAGTCTGTATTTAATACTAACAGGAACTTTCTACTTGGTTATTTTTCTTTCTCATGAAATGTATATCTAGATGATTTTTTCATTCTAATAAATAAGGATCTGCCTATTACTTTTAATGGCTATATAGTTTTGCAGTACCATCAAATACTATGGATTTTGAACTTTGTTTAGTTTGTCTTATAAAATTTTATTTTTTAATGGATACATAAAAATTGAACTTATTTATGTATTTCTTTGTGATATTTTGATATATGTATATATTATACACAATACATAATGTCCAGTCAGGATAAATATTTTTAAACATTTCTTTTTAAAACATTTTTTTATTAAGTGTATGTTTGCAATGTTTAATAGTTACATTCATATTGGGGAATTAATTTTTCATAGTGGATATTTAAGTTGTCTAGATGACAGTGCCATAGTGAATGTTTTTGGCCATCTATAGTCACCCATTTATTTTCATATGGTACGTTTTTTTTTTTTTTTTCTTTTCTTTTTTTCAGAGCTAGTCTCTTTTTCCTACAGGGTATCCTTTAGCTATCGGAATCTTACAGCCTAGAGATGTAGGGCTGCCTGGCATCAAAGGAAGCGTACCTTGAGCCAGAATTGCTCATGATTACCAATTACTTTTTCATTCAGGATATATTTTTTTGTTTCACTGCTTCTATCCTTTGGCCATTTTTCTCCAAAATTGAAATTAGTAACACTTTCTTTTATAGCAGGTAAATTACTGTGACTTTTGACATGCAATAGATTCTGAGAGGATTTTGTTTGTAATTGAATCTGAAAGTGAATCTTTATATAAAATAAGAAATCTTTTCTAAAAGGAAATAAATATATATTACTATCTTAATTACAATAGAAGTATTAAAATAAAAATTTTATTGATTGGTTTGTATGTATACATGATCTTTAGTTTTATGCTACCAATTCCCTTTTTGCAACTTTGTAATTTTTAAGTGGCTTGAACTTTTTTATTTTCTAAATTTATTTAGCCTAGATATCATCATCATAATACAGGAAATAATAACATTGAAGTACAATCTTTAGTCTCACTAATCTTGTATCAGTCACTTGTTGTTTATATATTAAATTTGAAAGACCACATTTTTGGACAAAAGAAACGTCATTTGAGTCAACTCTGTATTTGACTGATAGTATCAGTTACAGCTGAATGTTCTTATATTCCTGTTCTGAAAAAATGCTGATAAGCCTTTGTGATTTGTGAATATAAAACTTGCTGTATATTCTAAGACTTCACTTTATTGTATGGTTACTTCAACACTGTCAAGTAATTTGGAACACCAGCTTTGTTTAAGCTATGTTGTAGACTTTATACAATCCAATGAAAGATGCTTGTGTTGTAGGAGAAAATAGGTATAAGAAGGAATAAACTAGAATAATAGGTATAAACTAGAATGTTAATAGTTATAATAAGTACATACATGTAATACACTGATTATTTTAATATAATACCAAAACTACACAAGTGATGGACTGAGAATAATTAATCCTAGTACTTAGTCGTGACTTTGACCTCATCTTTTGTGAAGATGAACGGCATGCTAACAGAAAGAATGTGGCCTTTCTTTTGTTTTTTTGTCTTTTTGAGAGAAGGTCATGTTATGCAGTTTAGGCTGGCCTTCAGCTCACTTTATAGCTCAGGCTGGTATTAAACTTGGAATGGTCCTTGTGCCTCAGCCTCCCTAATGCTGGGATAACAGGCCTGCAAAACCATGCTCTGCAAGAACCTGGCCTTTTGTTAGAGCAACTGGGACACACATTCTGGTTTTATCCCTGTGACGTTACTCAACTTTGTTAACTTTCTGTACTTATGTAATACTTCTCCAAAAGGCTGGTATGAGAAAATTGGCTGTCATATTTGGGGTTTAATTTGCACTTTTTTTTCTAATTTCCTAAGTGTAAAGTCACTGATGCAAGATCTTATACTGTATAGTTATTTAGTGCTATAAAAATTTAAATAAAGTTGCTATTTTAGATGTATCTCAACTTTTGATAAATTGTTTTTATTTTCATTTATTTCAAATGTTAAAGGTTAGCCTTGTTCACTTTCCTTTTGAGGATTCTCACCTGATGCTAGAAAGCACTAGATTCATCACTTTCTTCTTTTCTAAGAAATGTACTTAGTGTTAAAAAAGTTTTTAATAAAGAATTGACAGACCTAAATTTGGCATGGTTGCACACGTCTATAAAGTCCCAGCACTCAGGCTGAGGCAGGAGGATCACCATGACTCCAGAACCAGTCTGGGCTACGTAGTGTCTTCAAGGCCAGCCTGAGTACATGGTGAGACCCAGTATTATAAAGTTTTTCTACTCTGTGGGATCTTGAACTGTACTCAGCCTTGTGTGAGCCCCAGATACTGTTCATTCCTTTCCAGTGGTTCTTTTCTTAGTTTTGATAGTTTCTTCACTTACACATACATGTCATTATTCAGTCAGAGATCTGAGTGCATCTCTTTGATCTGTCCATAGTGTCCTTTTCTCCTCACAACTCCAGTTTTCTCAATGTTCTGCCCCATACAATCTAGTTACATTGACCGTCACAACCTCCGAACTTTGTTCCCTCAACTTGGTGAGACCACCAGTCTGTTTTGTGTTCCTTTGCCTGGTAGTAAGTTCTGGGGTCTCTCAGCAGTAAATACAAGTCCTTGTAAGGTTCATCTCATTGGTTTTTCTCTTCATAGAAATCTTTGTCCTGCCTGTACTATTGCCCAGTGTTTGAAAACTGATGTTACATATCTTTTTGGTTTTCTAGTTGTTTAAGGCAAGAGGGTAAAAGAAGTCCCTGTTATTCCATCATGACCCCAAAGTATAAGTTACTTTAGTAATAGTTTAATTCCAGGTATTAGATCCTTTTAAATCAAATTACTCAGAATTTTTTATTTGAGGAAATAACTAAGGTGAGTGATTTTAAGCTGCATGTTGACACTGTGAATATTTTCTTCTTTTTTAATCTCAGTGAACTTAAGTAGTTCTCAGTAACTTAATAGTCTCAGATTTCTTATTAATAAACTTTTACATTCTTGTAATATTAATATGTGATGCAAATTTATTTCTAGGGCTTTCTGGACTTTGTCAGAAATAATAATTATTTAAAATTATATAATTGGTCTAACATACTGCTGAATTTATAAGCATTTTTAAGTAAGCTGTTAATGCTTGTGAATTATTAATAGGCTTTTAAGAAGTATATCTTAAAATAATCTTTTATTAAAATCTAAAATATAATTCATTACATAAAATATATAACCAAAAGTTGTTATTAGGAGAAATCTAACAGTATACAAAATGAGATGTAACTTTGAGACACTACAAACGTATAGTCTAGTTTGTGAAGAAATTAATATCTTTTAACCCCATAAGAAAGCTAATTTTAAGCTATTATATGCTTGCACATTTCTATCTTACTCATTGCTCAGTGATGTGCAGAAAGGCGTGGAAGGTATAGTTGTAAAATTTGCAGGTGGGTATAAACCTTGAACTAATTGATATACTAATTTTTGCTTTGGATCTTAAAAGATAGGATAATCATAGTTTAGTAGCAGCATATGTCAAAACTTTATTAAAATAACTGATACATTTGCCAGAAACTATTCAGTTTTGCAGTGTACCAAAAGACACTTGATACCTAGAACAGGTTAAACAGTGATAGTGCTGTCTGTTACATTGCTCAGATCAACTAACAGTAATTTAGTTTTTGTCACTAAGTTGAAATCTAATAAAGTGTTAAGAACTAGGCCATTTACCACTTTTTCAGTTACAATCTCCATAGTTAGAATTACTCCACTCTGTATAGTTAGTTGTACTGTACCATATTAGGTCTGTTAATTTTCTTTTCTTTTTTTTTTTTTGAAACTGGGTCTCACCGTGTATTCAGGATGGCCTGAAAGGCATTATGTAACTCAGGCTGGATTTGGAGTCATGGTGATCCTTCTGCTTCAGCCTGAGTGCTGGGATTATAGGTGTGCATAGCCATGCCCCTTTTAGGTCTGTTAAATCTTTTTTAATATTATAAAAAGTTTTTTTTAATACCAAGTACATTTTTTTAGAAAAGAAAGTGATAAAATATCCTATCTTTCCTTGAGAAGTTAAAAATAAGACAGAATAAAGCCAAAAAAGGAAAGAAGAAAATAATAAAGATCAGAAAACGCAATCTCTTATCAAACTGCCAACATCATTATTCATATAAATTAACATTTTGATTCTTATACTTCTGTAAAAATAGAAGATATTCAGAATAGTCTAAACAACTTTGATAAAGTAACAAAATTAGAGCTCCCACCCTCCCCAATCCCATGACTTACCAAGAAATTACACCAATCATGACAAAACAACAACATTGACATCAAGAGAGACAAACTACCACAGTATCAATATGAAGTCCCAAAATAGATCCCACATGACAGACAATTGATTGCTGGAAAAAATGCAAAAGCAATTAAGTGGAGAAAGGATTTTACCCTCAGTAAATGTACTATAAAATAACTGGATATTCACATGCAAAAAACTGAAACCTTACAGCACATCAAAAATTTCTTAAGACATCCTAAAGCCGACTCAAAATGGCTCACAGTGGGTTAAAGTAAAGGCAGGTGTGGCCTGAGTCATTGCTTGGCTGAAGTCAATA